ACCCAAGCCGACCAAACTTTTGCACCTGTGCATCAAGTGATTGTCAGATACTTGTAAGGCTACACCAACACAATTGACTGGTTCTCAGATTCATTCCAAAGAAACAATTCCAAACTCCTACACAAAGAAAAGAGTTTTAATTCAAATTGATGATTCTTTCATCCATTTATGATCTAAGATGTTGACCTATGGTTTTCTGATTTTGTGTCCTCTCTGAGTTTACTTAACAAAGACTCGGTTGGGTTAAGGCAGCCTATGGCATACTATGAGTAGTATTTCATACATATGCCTGTAACTTTTGATAGCTTGGTCGCACCACAACTAAACTTCACACAGTTCTAGTAGTACTTGAAAGACATTGAATAAAGGTTATTTTGTTTTTACTACTTCTGGATGTTTGGGTTAAAAATCAACATTTTGGTTTAAAAAAAAGCTGTTTACTTCATGGCTTTACACGCAAGCGGTAACAACACCTTTCATCATGATATTCTACGAGTAGAAAGCCAACCCCCTATTTATTATTTTTGTCCGAGGCTATTTTGTTTTAAATGACAGTTACATTGTTTTTTTGGGCCAAAAACGACAGAAACAGCTATTTTTCTGTCATTTTTCGTTAAAAAATCGCCACAGTTAAAAAATATCGACTTATATGCAAAATAGCCTCGGACAAATTTGATAAAAAAGTGATAATACGTAAACATGGATTACTCTAAAGACCAATTATGCTGTTTTCAGCTGCGCGTAAAGCCGTTTAAGTCATACTCCGTGAATAAAATGCGTAACAACGCGGGTTTACAGTAGTACAGGGAAAACATACAAATGACCGCCGGTAACCCCGAATTCGAACACGCGTTCTATTCGAATGACGTCATATCGAACATGGTGGAACATGATTCGGGTTCGAAACATGTATGTGGCAATCGTGCAGACACACGCCCGAAGTCGAACATGAATATCAGCCTAGGCCGCCTTAACCCAACCGAGGAGTCTGAGACCCAGGAAAGTGTGTTGGTGTGGCTCTGATCTCATTCTGTGACTGAAGAAAACATTTCTTATGTAGGAAGCCATGTACTTGCTCCTTGTACTTAAACACTGAGAAATGGCAAGACACAAGTCTAAGACAGTAGTCTGACTTGGAAGTTAGACTCACTCCTAATGAAACAGGTTGTTTCACATTGAAATGTAAGTTGAGGAATTACAAGAACAAAAGACATCACAACTTCCTCTGTGTAACAGGATGGAGTTAAGTTATTCCAAAGGAATTAGAACAGAAAACAAAAATCATAACTTAAATACTGTACTAATTTTTAGGACTGAGAAACATTTTGTATTTGTTGAAGTACATGTGTGCTGGGTTTCCTGTGTTGACCTTTTTGGCAGAAATATTTAGCCTTTTTTTTGGCAGAAATTTTTGGATGTCAAACCATGACTGAATTTTGCCACAAGCAGTAGTACAAACAATACTAGCTTCACCTGCACAAAAATCAGTACTGAACTTACATGTAAGTCTTCCCAGAAACCATTATACCAGACAATGCAGGCGTCATTACCGTAACGTATGACTACGTAGTCAGTGCGCAGGTGTTTGCTGGGAGTTTTGCAGGTTTTCACCTCTTAGGTTCATGTCTGCTATTGATCCCGGCTACACTGGGGGCAACCATCCTGGTGACCTTGACCCCCCACGATGGATTCCGCTCCAACCTATGATCGAGGCGGCAGCCGCCGTGCATGCAGAATTAGCGAGAACGGCGCGGGCCCTTCTACCCGGCGCCGAGGTGGGGTTTTCCTCGGGGATCCGAAACTATCGCCTTCTTGCCGGCGTGCTCAAGGCCTCATGCTTTAATTATGAAGTGGAGGCTGGCAGAATACAAAGTGGTTCCACACACCGGCACAGACCCTCCGTCTTTATCAGCCCGAGTCGCGAGCACTTGCAGAGGTGCCGGGATTTCCCCCACACACCGCTGCACAATCGTTCTCCCAACAGAACGTCACAGAAATATGCTATTCCGAACGGTGACTCAAAAGGGATGGACCACTACACATCATGAGGTGGTGAGGATGGAAGAAAAGAAAAAAAGGATTACAAAATTTCAGATCTATTGGCATGAAACAAAATACTAGAGAGCAATAGAAAGGCATGTCTCTTATGCCACCCCACAACTTACCCACAGTAAAATTTACAGTAGAGTCACAAACAAAACTGGTAGAAAATTAATAGACTTCCAAGTATGCTGTCAATCTGTAATTGTACCATCTATGAAACTATGAACTTTCTGTTATACCAATTTAGAATACCGTTACTAAATTTGTTAACATTTTAGTGTATTTTGGACGTAAATCATCATTTCAGGTCTAAATGTTAGTTTTCGTTCTTACCTTTACCTTAGTTCTTGTTAAAGACATGAGCAGCCTGACCTAAAGCACCTAGCCTTGTATCCAAACCTATCTTAGATGCAAAATCTTATTCTTGATTGTCTTGTTGTTCTGCCATCAAGTCTTACATGTACCTTCCTTGTTCTTTAATTATCTCAATTTCATCCAAAATTAATGCCTGGTTATGAGCAAAATGCTCTTTTGCTCTGACTCTAGTTAAACTGCTTTTATATTACATGGTGGTGGGGAAAATTTTTCAAAGTTTCTAAACTTCCAGTCAGTACATTTTTTAAAAATTTACATTGTGCATATATTAAATGAAAATATGATTGAAGACTGTACTGTTAAACACGTATGAGTAATAATAATGCTACATGTGCTAGGTTTCTTACACTTTGGCCATTTTTCTATGTTCAAGTACAACAGAGCAAGTTATAGTGATGAAGTGGAAAAACTGCTGAGTGCTGACATTGTGTGCCAATCTTAAATATGAAAAAGTGCAATAATAAACAAACTACCAATCCCGCTTTGTCCAGGGTCACTTTTTCTGCTTCTCAGATGTATATTTTCCCCATTCCTAATTTGTTATACAGTGTACAAAATATGTTTTTGAACCAGGTTGCCCAGTGGGCAACCTACGGCAAAAATTAGATTGCCCATCAGAATTTTAGGTTGCCCCACCTATAAGCCTTTGACAATATTTCTAACAGCCTTTAGTTAACTGATACTACATTTTGTAGTAATAGCAATTAATACCTTAAATTAAAAAGCATCTGCTGGATACAGTGGTGAAAGCCAAGCTTACAGTGGGCATGATTTGGGGGGGGGGGCATTCTTAAAATTCAGGTAGCACAGTAGACTACCTAGGTTCAAAAAAATGTAGGTTGCCCCAAGTAAAATTTGGTTGCCCGGGGCAACTGGGCAACCAGGTATTTTGAACGCTGTTATATTCAAACAGTATACAATCATGAACACGTAACCGCCATTAAGCGTAATGCACCAGCTTTTCTCCGTGAATAGTTTCATCAGGTTGGTTAGGTGCTGAGTAAAGAGATTCTTTTTCGACAACCAAGTTTTTTTATTGAGCCAAAGTCTGTAACCTTGCTCATTGGCTGAATAAAAGACTTGGTTGTGTATAAAAAGAGTCCCTTCACTCTGCACCAGCTTATGTAATGAAATCCTACAAGTATGCTGTCCAACTATGTTACCAGTAGTCAATGTCATGAACTTTCAGCTTTTAAGTATCACTGTTAGGCCACACCAATTTAATTTCTTGGTTAACAGATTCACCCGCTTCATTTTTTTCTGATTTGCAAATAAAAAAAAAATTCAGAATCAACTGCAAAATGCTCAATATTTTGCCCTGAACAGTTGAAAACAGTCCTTTTCATCCTAGTTGTTACAGTTATTCCATCTTTCAATGCAGTAGTACCATTAAAAGCTCAAAATTCATTGTTTAAATTTTGAACTAGCCTGGTGTGTTGACTTCATGGCTTCTATTGTACCATTTTGGGCCATAATAGGATGCCTAGGCCTGTTTTTATTTTTATATTTTTTCGCCCGCCCGCTCCATTATTTTTCTAGAAAAATCGGTTAACCAAGAAATTAAATTGGTGTGGCCTTAAATAGTAATTAAAACACTTACTAGACTCTCCTTGACTTTTCTATTGACATCTCAAGGCTCTTCCAACAACTTACTGACTAAATAGACCTGACTTGCACCTGATGTGGAAATGCTCCTCATTGAGGCATCACTACACGCTAACTTAACGATTGCTGATTGGTTGCGGTACTGCAAAGTGAGCATGGAGTAACGCCCAATAACCGGCATTTACCTGATTAAGGACTGCCATTTGAGCTTTGCATGGATCTGTTAAGAGGGAGTAGAAATCTGTGTCATTTAGAACTGTGCCAAAAAAGTGTGCCAAATGAGTGAGAAACTCTGTGTCCTTTATTTTGGTGGGGGAACAGTGTACAAAATACTTTTTTGAACCAGGTTGCCCAGTGGGTCTGTTAAGTGGGCAACTTTCGGCAACAACTGGGTTGCCCATCAGAATTTTTAGGTTGTCCCACCTATAAGTTACTACTTTCCTCAAATTAAGTTATGTTCTAATATACATAAGCCTTTGACAATATTTCTAACAGCCTTTAGTTAACTGATACTAGTAATAGCCATTAATACCTAAGATTAAAAAGCATCTGCCGGATACAGTGGTGCAAGCCAAGTGAGCATGATTGGGGGGGGGGGGGTCATTCTTAAAATTCAGGTAGCACACTGGGCTACCTAGGTTCAAAAATAGGTTGCCCCAAGTAAAATTTGGTTGCCCGGGGCAACTGGGCAACCAGGTATTTTGCACGCTGGGAAATGGATACTGCCTTGCAAATTTGATACTGTCCTTCCCCTACCGAAAGATCTGCTTGGAGATTATCATTTACAGGCAGCACTTTGCCAAAAGGTGTACTGAGTACATGTACTGAACAACTGAAGATGAACTGTGCAGATTTCTGCTAGAGCAAGTTTTTGCAGTATGATATTTACAAAATGTAGATAACACAGTGTTAGCGCATTTGAGTTTGCAGCATGTAAATGCTGCTTAACCTATAAATTAGGACATTGAAGCCAATGATAGCCCATACACATTTTTATTGTACTCTGTATCTTAACTTTGAAAGTACCAGATTTAGCGAGTATGTAAATTCTGGAAAAAAGGCATTTCAACCAGACAAGACACATCATCCATAATGTCGTCTTTACAGGCTAATCAGAACAATATTCTTTGTTCTATACTTAAATTTGAAAATGTAGTACACTGTATTGTCAAATTTGTGATCTTGTCTGATCAGTCACTTGAAACGAAAGACACCAGACATTATATGAGTGCTATAAAAAGTGTTAATATTCTATCCTTTACTGATGGTGCTTGGTAACTTTGTGGTGTTTAATTTTAGTTGTAGGTCATGTATCGGGGAGTGGCACTGAACTTAGCGTAGGACTTGATGACTTTGTTGACAAATTTGTGATCTTGTCTGATCACTCACTTGAAACAAAAGACACCAGACATACATGAGTGCTACAAAGTATCAATATTCTATCCTTTACTGATGGTAAGTTTGTGGTGTTTAGTTTTAGTTGTAGGTCATGTATCGGGGAGTTGCGCTGAACTTAGCGTAGGACTTGATGACTTTGTTGACCGCCTCGAGGAAGTCCTTCTCGGTGGCGACCTTCCGTCTGGCCCGGATGGCGAACATGCCCGCCTCTGTACACACACTTCTGATCTCAGCACCTGAAACACACAACACTTAGGACTTACAAAATGTACTTAGGACTTAGGGGCTACCACGTCTCGTGACACATGAGGAAGTCAAAGTACCCCAGCTTTCTCTGTCAGCAGCACACAACCTCTACATCAAAAAACAGTTCTAGAGGGGAAAGATCAATATTAAAGGTTAAAATCCTTCTACGTTTGTATTATAAATCTCTGTACTTCAGGGAAGGGTAAATATATGGTAGGAAAATGCTGATTCAAGCACTTGAAAATACATGGAATATGAAATAAAGTAAGGGCCATTCATACTACAATGATGCAGCAATAATACTCATTACATACACTTTGGAGTAACTGTAAGTACTGCAAAGCAAAATGCACATCCATATACCACATCACACTGAAACATGTACATGTATACTACAGGTGTACACTGTGTGCTATGCTACACCCACATGTATACTACACCTGCGTATCACACCTGCATATCACACCTGCACAATACACCTGCACCTGTATACAACACCTGCCCACCACATCTGCACATCATACCTGCACACTACACCAGCACACCGCACCTGCACACCAAATCCACATACCACACCTACACGCCACACTTGCACACCACATCTGCATATCACACCTGCTGTACTTGTATACCACACTTGCACACCACACCTGTACAACAGACCCGTATATCACACCTGCATATCACACCTACACACCACACCTGCACACAACACCTGTACAACATCCCAACATGCCACCCCTGTACCCCCCCACCTGCCCAGGCCATCACACCAGTAAGCTGCACCTTTTAACTTATTGGCCAGGGCTACAAGAACAGGTCACATCTGACACCCCCAATTTATATGCAAATCAGTCTGGTCCCAACTTGGCCCCAACCCAATATTCCAATACTTCATTGAAAACCATGTTCATCGAACCATATTCTTCTGTTAACAGTGTAAGAAGACTACGATATTAAGCAACCAGATGCATTAAAATAGGCGTGTACTTGAGTCAACTTTCCATAATCTTCTAGTACCTTGAGCACTGAAAATTTATTTAACCTACACTACAATTCTTTTAAAAAAACACACTCCTTTCTACATTTGAAAAAATGAAATATATCATAGGTGCTCACAAAACTTTTAGTCTCTTTTACCCCCCCCCCCCACCACACACAAAATAAATTGCATCTTAGACAGCCAAATGGTCCTTGGAAGACTAAGGTTGAGCATGTACATGTATGGTTGCATAAAAGTGTTGTAACAGATATTATGTGCCATCATGGCATTCCCAAATCATGAGCAAAGTCATTTTCTAACAACAATATTTGCGTTTGATTTTTAAAAATTCTTCCAGCACACAAAACAACAAATTGTCTTAAAAACACCCGACCGTCTGTAACGTACGGCATCGTCCGTAAATTGTCGGATAAAGAATCAAAACCAGAGCTTTCCCGACAGGTCCATTAGTGAATTGATGTAGGCTGGGATCCGACGCGGGGTACCTGACATGCCCGCCACATATCAAGGAGGAGATCGTGGAAATAAAGAAAGACTCTTAGGACGCTCTGGTCTTCACTTTAGTGCCCATGTGAGGCTTTTTGTAATGTTTTTGTTTGTGTGTTTGTATATGTAAATTGTACCCTCTATAGCAATGAACGAAATGAACTCTTTGATGTAGCCTCCAAATTCTACCCAAACTTTCACACATATACAAAGAAAACTACTCTCCTCTTAACACCTGAAAACCTACAAATTACAGAAAAAGTGGGATCCTTTGTCTTCCTCTGTCTTCAAAAAAGAAGTCAAACCCAGTAGTTTTTATTAGTAGTTTTTTTAGTAGTTATCAGTTGTTTTATGTGTACTAATTGTCTGATTTTATACCATCTGTTCCTGCAATTAGCCCTAGGACAAGAATTTGCAATAAACAATTCGTTATATGTATAATTATTTATAATTGTAATGTTAAGTTGTATTTGTCAGACAATCAGCTGTAAAAAAATCAGTGTTATTCAGCATGTTTTTGTACAGGCTGCGAGGCTGTTTTTTTTAATGAATAAACTGTTGTTGCCCCCCCCCCCTCGGACGGTGCAAACTCCGCGACATTCCGCAAATAACCCGGCCGCGTTGTCTGCTTCCTGACCGCAGCTATCAACGTCCTTTAATAGCTACTTAAGGCCAGGTCTGAGATGCGAGGACATGGACATGGTAATTGCTCTGGTTCCTATCTACTCATTGCTTCACCCTTTATCTTATCTTAATGAAAGTGGCCCTTCCTGGGCTGGTCTGAGACGGCAGTCATTTACATGGAAATAAGGGAGACGGGGCTCCAAGCACTGACAGGGCTGGAAATACTTCCACCTGTATATACAAGTTAGTGCAGCTGTGTAGGTACTTTTGATGTCTACTTGCACTGGTCCATGTACTGGGTATATGCAGGTTAGTGCAGGTAAAACTGGAGCTGTGCAGGTATTTCTAATGTCTAGATTCACCTAACCTGCACTGGGCATATTTAGGTTAGTGCAGGTAAAATTGGAGCTGTGCAGGTATTTCTGATGTCTACCTGCACCTAACCTGCACTGGTCCATGTACTGGGTACATGTATATGCAGGTTAGTGCAGCTAAAGTTGGAGCTGTGCAGGTATTTCTGATGTCTACTTGCACCTAACCTGCACTGGTCCATGTACTGGGTATATGCAGGTTAGTGCAGGTAAAATTGGAGCTGTGTAGGTACTTCTAATGTCTACCTGCACCTAACCTGTACTGGTCCAAGTACTTGGTTTATGTGAACTATACATGTAGATGTATACGTGGATTTTAATTTGCTGCATTGACTGTTACCACCTACATGAAGTAAAAGAAATAATGACAATAGTTTCAGAAGTTTTTAGTACAAGCCATATTATGAATGGTGCAAGTAAAATTTGTCCGGTGCTGGTAATTTTCTTATTACCTACATGTACAATGTACACCAGTGCAGGTTTGCTGAAAAAAAGTATTCAAGCCCAGACTATCTCTGCCCATCACAGCAAAGCCAACATGTAGATCTGGATTTCAAAGAAGCAAATTTTGTGTCTTGAAAAAAAAAACTGTTGGAATTCCCTCATACTATTCATTTTGTTCCTTTTACAACAAAATTTCTAAAACAGTCTGAAACAGTCAGGCAAACACTCACATGCAAACACACTCCTATACAACACATACATGTATAAATCAAAAACAATACTTGAGGAAAAGTAATAAAGTGGGTACAAACACTGTTTTGAGCACCACCATTACTGTACTGTACCCACCTGTGCTGTTTGGACACAGCCTGGCCAGTAGTTCGTACCGGATGTCTCTCTCTACACTCATGGACCGAGCGTGGATCTTAAAGATATGGGACCGGCCCTGGAGAAGAACAGAAGACAGACAATCCCAGTCACATGATGGGTTATTGTTCAAAATTCAGATGACTGTAAAAGGTGAGTGTGCGTGACAAATACACATCTTCTTGGTTTATTTATGTCAGAACATTACATACAATTTGTTACACTGAGACACCCAAAGAGTACTGAAGGTTAAATTACACAGCCTGTGCTCAGTGGTGAAATGGTTAATTAGTGACCTATCTGAAGATTGCAGAGTTCAAAATGTCTTTTTTACCAGAGCTATTGTATAGAGTGGAACTCGCTGCCACCAAGTACAGTAGATATCTTTTAAGATCACTAGATAGGTTTAAACAATATTGTTTAGATAAACCGGACAGCGAGTGAGTGAGTGAGTGTAACAAGTTGTTCAGTGTAATATAGCTAGCTACCAATGCACCTTGTGCCTGCGAAGCTGGTGTGTTAATCCGAAGGGCGGTTATACCAGCAATACAGATACAGAAGCTGGTGTGTTACGCCAAAATGGGTGGTTATACCGGCTATACAGATACAGAAACTGGTGTGTTACACCAAAGGGTGGTTATACCGGTTATACAGATACAGAAGCTGGTGTGTTACGCCAAAGGACGGTTATACCAGCTATACAGATACAAAAGCTTGTGTGTTATGCCGAAGGGCGGTTATACCGGCTGTACAGATACAGAAGCTGGTGTGTTTCACCAAAGGGTGGTTATACCGGCTATACAGATACAGAAGCTGGTGTGTTACGCCAAAGGGCGGTTATACCGGCTATACAGATACAGAAGCTAGTGTATTACGCCAAAGGGCGGTTATTCCGGCTATACAGGTACAGAAGCTTGTGTGTTACGCCAAAGGGCGGTTATACCGGCTATACAGATACAGAAGCTTGTGTGTTACGCCAAAGAGCAGTTATACTGGCTGTACCCACCTCCAGATCTGGTAGACCAAACTCGATTTTCCTGTCCAGTCGTCCGGGCCTCATGAGCGCGGGGTCCAGCGTGTCGGGTCGGTTGGTCGCCATCAGGACCTTGATGTTCCCGCGAGGGTCGAAGCCGTCTAGTTGGTTGATCAGTTCCAGCATCGTTCGCTGGACCTCGTTGTCTCCACCCGCTCCATCATCAAATCTCGCACCTGAGGAAAAACAGAAATACATTTATCAACATCCAGCAGGGCTCGAAATACTAGGTGCATGTGCACCTTAGTGCACACAAATTTGAAGCTGTGCACCCAATTTTTTTCTGTAGGTGCACTGGTGCACTCAAATATTTTTGTAGGTATTTTTGTACATTCATCAACAGTACTGTATAATAGTATGCAGGATATTGTTGGCATCTAAGTGTCAGAACAAATCTGTAATTACATGTAGGTTTTGTTTTATATGGTGCACCCGGAAATTTTTTGTGCACCTAATTTTTTAGGTTGGGTTCCCCAAAATGAATTTCAATCCCTGACATCCAGGGCTCTCCCCAAGCAATGAAGCAAGGGTGCTCCCCCTTCCCCCCAGAATCCTAGCACCCCTCCCAAAATGTTCAAATTTAGGGTTTTCTGTTAGTACTTTTATGAATATTGGCTGATATTTTTTCGATTAGGAGCACCTCTCCCCTAAAAATTTCTGGGGAGACACCTGCATTCTCCCTGCTACCTCACCACGTAACAAATGGAGAATTGATAGCTAAACAGCTACTTCAGTATGCTAGAAGTTACAGCTACATTTTGACCACGTGCAAGTGCTGAATCCATGTAAACATATGGCAAGAGATGTCACCAAACTACAGTCTACCAGCAAAATTTGCCCCACAAAATGCTGGAAACCTGAGGTTTTAGTGGATTGAGATTTCTAAATTTACCCCAGACCCCCTAGGACTGTCGTGCCTCACATCTTTGGCACTTGACATGATTTTATGTCAATGAAACAAACTTGAGTTGACATTAAAAAATTTCAGGCTGGCTAGAACACTGATACAAGTACAGTGATGCCACTTGTACGCCTGTACAAGTGACCACCTCTCCATAAGGACCACCTGGACATTGCTGCCAATTTTTGGTATGTTTTTTTTTCATTGACCATGCATCAAGAATCTTGCCAATAGTGGCCACCTATGACCATTATGTCCCAAACTGTCCCTTGAGTGGTCACTATATAGACAGGTTCACTGTACATATTCATCATAGGCATACATGTACCTCTATTGTCTCTATTATCATAACAACGGAAAATATCATAATGGGCTTACCTCCAATTGCGTCAATCTCATCAAAGAAGATGAGACAAGCTTTCTTAGTCCTGGCCATCTCAAACAATTCTCGTACCATTCGGGCACCCTGAAAAACATCAAATCCTTTGTTAGAAAAAAACATTACACTCAGACCTAGGGAAAAAAATGTTGTTTGCCGACTGACCCTAGAAAAACTTGCCGACCCTAGACTTTTTTATAATCTGATCAACCTTTTCTAGCTCCATGATCTGACACCTGAGTGATAAAACAGTTGGTTTTCTAACATCGACATTGAAAATAAAAGTGTCCTCATGCAATTTTACTTTGTCAAACTGTATTGTATAAGTTGGACCCCTATATAGCTATCACTGAAGTCTAAAAAAAAAAGAAAGAAAAAAGAATGTCATCCACCCCCCTCCCACGAAATTATGCCCACTTGGCTTGCACCACTCACTGTATCCGGCAGATGCTTTTTCATTTTAGGTATTAATGGCTATTACTGGTAACAGTTAAGTTACTAAAGGCTGTTAGAAATATTGTCAAAGGCTAAATATGTATGTAATTACTTAATTTGAGGAAAGTAGTAACTTATAGGTAGGGCAACCTAAAATTCTGATGGGCAACCTAATTTTTGTCGTAGGTTGCCCACTGGGTAACCTGGTTCAAAAAAGTATTTTGTACACTGCTACCTACCTAATTTTTTCAGCACTGAAACAAGAAACACATTTTTTCCTAGGCCTCATCAACTTTGCGTCCAGATTTTCACTCATACATGGTGGCAGTGGTCGAAATACTTTTTTTCAGTACTCTGCAATATTGCAGAAGAGTCAAAATTTTGTTCTGCAATTTGGAAATACTTTCTGCAAATACACAAGCCTCCATATTACAACCTTTCTGCACATACACAATCCTCCATACTACAACCTTCTCAAACCAATAATTCCTTTTTACATCATATATACATGTAGCTTTGTAAATCTGTACAGTAGCATTACTGGACTGCGGGAGAATTTCAGGTTTATAAGCATAAACTATGGATTGATATGCAAATTAGTGAAGACAATTTTTTGGAAGTACAAAAGGAAACAAAAGTTAGACAAGTCAAGACAAGGATGATGCAAATTAGTGAAGAAGCTCCTGTTGTTTCGGAACAGTCTGTCCCTGGGGCCTGGGAGTTTTAGTTTGCTAAATTGAAAACTAATGAATCTGGAGTCTATTTTTCCTTCTGCAAAATTGCAGATTGTATAATTTTTTCTTCTGCAATCTTGAAAATCTACCTGCAGATTGCAGACTGCAGGCAGGTATTTCGAACACTGTGGTGTCACATATCTGTTAAGTGGGTCATTCTAAATGATTAAGGACTTGTGGGATTTAAGGAGTTAACGAACTTATGTCTGTCGATTTGTAATCCATCAACCATAACGAGCACCAAGTAGGAGAATTGATTGATGCGCTCTCATTTCCAACAAGGACAGATACGGCTTTAAATTCATCAACTAGTTTTACCCCTGGAATAAAGCAATCTATCAAAGACCAGTTATGTGGCCTGATATTTATCCATCTTACAGATTAAAATTAATTTAAATGGAAAAATTCCTCCATTAGGCCACACCAATTTTTTATTTTAATTTCTTGGTTAACGGATTTTTCTAGAAAAATAATGGAGCGGGCGGGCGAAAAAAAAATAAATAAAAACAGGCCTAGGCATCCTATTATGGCCCAAAATGGTACGATGGGAGCCAAGTCAACACACCAGGCTGGTTCAAAATTTAAACAATGAATTTTGAACTTTTAATGATACTACTGCATTGAAAGATGGAATAACTGTAACACTAACAACTAGGATGAAAAGGACTGTTTTCAACTGTTCAGGGCAAAATATGAGCATTTTGCAGTTGATTCTGAATTTTTATTTTTATTTGCATATCAGAAAAAAATGAAGCGGGCGAATCCGTTAACCAAGAAATTAAATTGGTGTGGCCTTACCACAAACAAGGACCGCGACAAGAGACTTTTGCTATAAGTGAAACAACTAAAAATTTAAATGAACAGGGACCTACACCAATTATTACATTTTGCTATTGTGTTTTCTGTAAAACTATAATTTTGTATAACGATATACAGTAACATGCATTCATATAGCCTCTGGATAAATAATAATGGAGTTGGTAGGGCCCCAATTATGTAACTGTATGTTGTTATATTTTGTCTGTCCCTGACCGCTTTCTTCATGACCTCAATGAAAAGTGGTGAGCAGATGAATTTTGGCATTTCATGGATAGACAAAGGCCCAAAGTCAAATTAATGGAAGAAAATTCAAGCCACAGTGTTTAACCTGTCATTGTAAACATGAACTTTTCAAATCTTGAAAGTTCATCTGTGTTGGTAGAAATCATTATGAAGCAAGTTTAAACTGTAATTAATCTTTGCACAAGGGATTAAAGTCAATTTAAAGAGGCCATCTACATCAGGGCATTACAACCATCCCTCAACAGAGACGGGGGGCGCCACAGACTTTCAGCAACCTATGATCCACTGCTCATGGAGTCACGTGTGTTATCTGCGTGACATCACGGAAGCAGTGGATTGCTCATTCCTTGACAAAGACTGGAGTTGTACAGTCGAAAATTTGGGTAAGTCCAATTTCTTGTGTTGGAAATTACAGTTTAAACTTGCTGCATAATGAACTTTTCAATATATCTATGAATGATTTATGTTATTGTAAACAAGCATCGGAATTCAGCCTTGTACTTGATGGCTGCCAGTCATGCTGTTGTTGATACAAATAAAGCAATAAACGACGTACCTCTCCCACATACTTCTGCACCAGCTCCGAGCCAATCACACGGATGAAGCACGCATCTGTCCTGTTGGCCACGGCGCGGGCACACAGCGTTTTCCCCGTCCCCGGCGGACCGAACAGCAGGACACCTTTGGGAGGTTCTATTCCCAGGTTCACAAACCGTTCAGGCTGGAAAAAATCAAGGTGAAGTTTTAAGACTTCGGGGCATGCATAAGTGAATATAAATTGTAATGTCAATCAGTGTACAAAATACTTTTTTTGAACCAGGTTGCACAGTGGGCACGCTGTAATGTCACGCTGTAATGTCAATCCTGACCAAGTGACCACACAATGATCTTTGAATAAAACACTGAAACACAAACAGATAAATAAACAAACAAACAAACTCACATGTAGCAGAGGTGTCTCCACAACTTCCCTCAGTTTCTCTATCTGTTCCTTACAGCCACCAACATCCGAATATGTCACGTCAGGCTTCTCTTCCACCTAAAAAAGGTTGCAATTTTCAGTCATGTCATCACATCTTTTACTTGCATACACAAATACACAGTATATATACGTAAAACACTTTGTTTATTCTCGCCGAAGAATATATCGCAAAAATATAAGTTGATTGTAAGCAGCTCCAATCCACTCCAAAAAATTATGTTTCCGATACATAACATAATTAAAAAGCTCAAAAAATTAAAAGCATAAGTTTTCTAACAATACAAAGATGCACACCAAACAACAAAGTATTAACCCCCTACCTGTAACATGGTAACAGCTGGGTCGATTTTGGGAGGCAGCGGGATGTGGATCTGGTATTTGTTCCTGTCCACGCTGAGATAATACATGTACATGACAATTTAGCACCAGGAAAAGTTGTATTCTTATTTTCACTTTTAGACTGAAACATATGTTAACCCTCAGACCAAGTTCCTTCCTGCACCTATACATGTATATGGCACATAGGGTGGTGCCCATCACCATTTCTGTATCTCTTGGGCCACACAGTTGTGCAATCATTATAGAATGGGGCTAGTCCACTGGTAGTGGTGTGTGCTAACCCCAATACTCTTTCTCAGATGCTGAGTGCTAAGGGAAAGCAGTGTGTACCAATTTTTAAGTCTTTGGTATGACTCAGCCAGGGATCGAACTCACAACCTTACCCCCAAACAAAGACAACAATTTTCAAGTTTACCACTTATAACTTACAGATGATTGGCCAAATGTACAATGTATTTAGCTACACGGTTCTAGTACTTCTAGCCTGATGCAAAAGCTCACCAGACATGTGATAGAAAGTTTATTACAAATACTTGCCCGAGGGCTAATGGCAGTTACAAACAAAATTAATTAAGAAAGATAATACAGTGGTATGTGAGACTATATCTATGTCTAGCATTATACTATATTCTACAACATACATGGTACTAGTGTTACTGGGTTTGACTTCTTCTTTTTAGGCAATGGAAGACAAATTTACCCACTTCTTCTATAATATGTGGGTTCTTTGATTTCAGTAGTAAAATTGTTTTTTCGTGGTAGGGAATGGTGGGGAAGAAGGGGAGCATTTTGGACACGGTGGTAAATAATTGTTTTCTGATGTTGTCATAAAATGGACAGTTAGAGATGAAATGAATTTCGTCTTCCATTGCATTTACACTCCATCCTTACCCAACTCTCATGCCTTCCTCTATATCAGTAGGTGCCACAGACTCAGCCAAATCCACCACAAACTTGGCAAACTGTTTCACGTTGATGATGTACTTGGCATCGTCGCTGTCTGCATTGATGATTTTTGTGCAGCGAGCAACCTACAAATTCAACAAAACAGAAAAATTTCTAGACACCTTACACTGGTTTGAAACATTTTTATGTCAAATTCTCAGTGAATATACAACGTACAGTACAGTTTTAAATCATTTGAAAGAGCATGCTTTTCTCATTGTAATGTTGCATTAGTAAGGAGTAAGGACTCTTGATAGGAAAGGAAGGTTTTAAGTTTGCAGCTAAAACAACCGTAGTGATACAATGCAAGACAGGACAGGTGTTTGAGTTTGAGGTGAGACGTCATTGCAGGCAGTCTCCATATTTAAAACCACAGTGAATATTTCTGGATGTACAGTACCTGTAGTGGTTGTTCTCCCTGTAAGGTCTGTTTGTCTGCTGCTAAGTCCCACAGTGCAGGGGGAGCCAGGCCGGTGTCTGACTCCTTAATACCTACAATACAGAAAAAACATGTACGACACTTACACTACTAAGTAACACAGTATATTAGTACCACAGCAGTTCTTCGTCCATTCACTAGGACTTAATACTCAAGTCTTGGTTAATCTTCTTTCTGTGGAGAGGAGCATTTTGGTACCATTTCTTTTTGTTAAAGAATGAGATGTTACTTAATATCATCATCATCAGTAGACCGTATTGTTTGGGGTTGTAGTATATACCGCCCCTTACGAGGTGACATACCACAGATACTTTATAGGAAGCAGGAAGAAAGTTAAGGATGTTATTATTCCATTTAAAGCCTCACCTGTGAGTTCATTGATCTTCTTGGCCAGGTTTGTGATGTCATCTTCTGTGGACTTGATGGATTTACTGTAGGCCCCGGCTCCCTGTGGGGTGAAAGGGTATTACAAATTATTGTTGTACAATGTACAGCATAGGGGTCAGGTACAGAAGGACAACTTTCCGTGGTACAAGTTGCACATTTCAAGTCCCAGAGACATCATCACGGTAGGGGGTCTGGTCTTCTCCAACATCAATGTAAAAGTCATAACCCTTTTTTTTTTTTTGAGATGCTATTTCCTGCTTATTGAGGGTCAAATTTTACCAAAAACATTACTTCAGGCTACACTCAAACTGTCAACGGCTAGCTTAATAGGTAGTAACAGTACCAACTTATCAACTAGTATAAATTAATGCTTACAGTAATATATGTACTTACATAGGTTTTTAGCAATGCGATGTCCCCTTCATCCAAAGCTGAAAATTGCAGAAAACAGTTAGTTAATCGTACAAGAAACTGACAAGAGTCTAATCAGGCTACAACATTTATAATAAATTATACCTGCACACTCCCTATTTGGGTATATCGTTTACCTTATGCAGTATTTCCTATGCTTATCGCTAGGTGGCGCACGTGTACAAAGCTTTAATCGCAAAGCATCACGGGATATCATGACGTAATGACTATGTTCGCCGCCATTTTCCTTGTGCGAACGCCAAGGGGTGCACGTTGTTTCCCTACTCCTTATTTTTTCGGATTTTCTTTCGGCGTTATGCCCAAAAAGAAGGATAAAACGAAGTCTTCTGCCCACGGGGGCGATTCAGGTAGCCTTTCGGAGGACCAGACAGGTCGGAATGGCAAGAGAAGTGGTCAGTTTCCCAACGCTAGGCAGGCAAAATTCCTTGCCGTGGAAAAGACAGGCGTGCCTGCACTTGCCTCCGGACAGGAGGAAGAGGAGTCGGGTGAACGAAAAGTCCCCGCTCCTACAGCTGGAGGTTCGGAGGGAAAAGAGAAGAACCCCAACCTCATTCCGCCGCTAGTGGAGCGAAATGCCCCTTCGGCGTTGGCACTGGGAAAATCGGCCAAGGAAGGAGACGGCGCGGAGCTGCCCCGGCCCAAAATTCCTCCGGGCTCGGAGGAGTTGGGCTCCCCGACCATGCCGAAGCTTGGTCGGGAAAAGTCTCCTCCACCCCCACCTCCACCAGGAACACCCTTCCCGCCTGGATTCGACGCTGCCTCTTTTCTTCAGTGGGTCAGTTCCAGCCTGGGACTTCCTCAGGCGTCCAGTTCATCCCGTCAACCTCGGGACGTTGACGGGGCGGTAGCGTCGACCAGCCGAGCCGGCGTAGTCGGTTCCGGGCGCAAGCATCCAGGTTCGGAAGTGGAAGAGTGCTCGGAGGAGGGGGAAATCGCCATTTCGGACTCTGAAGAGTCGGATGAAGGTACTAGTAACTCCTTGTCATTCGATAATCCTTACGATAAGAAAGGGAAAGAATCTGAACTTCCCGAGCAAGTCGCTACATTTTTGAGCGAGGTCTTTACTCATAAATTGACTTATTCGGAGTTCAAGGAGAGGAAGGAAGCTTTTCCAACTCATGCTCATGGCTGCTAACCCTCTGGTGGAGCTTTTAGCGGCAGTTAAGGGTTCGGACCATCCCCTGAACCCAAATGCTGTGTGCAAAGCGATAGAATCGTCCTTGGTCTTTTTGGGTTCAGCTTCCTCTACTATGACTCAGTACAGACGTGAATTGTGCGGTAGGGACATGAAACAGGATATGAAGCATGTTTTTAAGACCGACTTGCCCACTGGTTCTTCCAAATACTTGTTTGGAGACACCTTTTTGGAGAAGGTTAATACAGCCGATCAGGCTAGACGCACCTTGAGTAAGGCTTATAAGCCAGCTCCTTCGAGCACTGCTAGGGCTAGGGACAGGTTTCAGTCCAACCGCTCAAAGTTTAGCTATAACTACAACAAGTACTCCTCAAACTCAAAGGGTTACAATTTTCGTCCCTACTATAACAACAACAACAACTACAACAATGCTAGACCATGGTCAAATGCCGGGGGTAAGAAAACCTCGGGGTTTCGTTCAGCGCAGGGCACTAAAGGCCCAAACAAACAGTAGCTCTTCCTCGTCATCAGACTCTGCTCTGTTCTCCGGTTCAGCATGCAGGGCGAACAGCTTTTTTCATGAAAAACTGGGAAAGGATTTCAACAGACAGATGGCTTTTGCAAACAGTTCGGGGTTACCGTATAGAATGGGAGTCCACTCCAGTTCAGTTCGTTCAGCGGGTCACAAATATATCTGGGGAGGACAGAGCAAAGGTTGTAGACGAGGAAGTGCACAGTATGTTGGAGAAAGGTGCAGTGGTCCAGGTGGAGCCCTGCGAGGGCCAATATGTTTCTACGATTTTCCTAGTCCCGAAAGCTCGGGGAGGCTGGAGACCGGTTATAAACCTAAAGTCTTTAAACAAATTTGTTCTGAAACGTACTTGCAAGTTCGAAGGGATAAACCTAGTCAAAGAGTTGTGGAAAAAAGGAGATTTTCTAGCAACTATAGATCTAAAGGATGCGTACTTTACCATCCCAATAGCTCAGAGCGATCGAAAATTCCTTCGTTTTTCGTGGAGAGGAGTTCTTTGGGAATTTCAGTGTCTTCCCTTCGGTCTGACGTCGGCGCCGAGGGTATTTACCAAGGTTTTGCGGCCGATTGTGGCCATTCTAAGGAGACAAGGATTGTTAATAGTAATTTTCCTAGACGACTTACTGATCATTGCAAGGTCGAGGGAACAGTGCTTAGAGCACATTGCTATAGCCAGAGAGCTTCTAGAGCAACTCGGTTTTGTTCTCAACCTGGGAAAGTCGCAGTTGATACCGTCTCAGGTAGCGACCTTCCTAGGCCTTGTTCTCGATTCTCGTACTTTGACAATTTACCTACCAGAAGACAAGTTAGACAAGGTAGTGAGTTCTTGCCAATCACTTCTGGAACAGGAGGTGATAGGAACCAGGCAGCTAGCCAGCGTGGTGGGGCTGTTAGAGTCCACCAAGCAAGCCATTCTTCCCGGGCCCTTACATTTCCGGGCTCTGCAACAACTTCTCAATTTCGGCATAAAGAAGCCGGGAAAATTCGACTCTTCAGTCAGTCTAACCCCAGATGCAGTAAAAGATCTACAGTGGTGGATCAGTCATGTGCGCGAAGTAAACGGTCGCCGAGTCTTTGTTCCGTCAGACCTGACAATTTGCACAGATGCCTCACTGGAGGGATGGGGCGCGCATTGCAATGGTCAGGAGACAGGCGGGCGCTGGTCACAGACAGAAGCGCGCATGCACATCAATTGGCTAGAGTTGAAAGCGGCCTTCCTGGCGCTAAGAAGCTTTGTGAGCGCGGATACTCAGCATGTTCTGCTAAGGCTGGACAACACAACAGCCGTTGCATATGTGAATCACATGGGGGGAACAAGGTCGCCAGATCTGGCAGCCTTGGCCCTGGAGATGTGGTCGTGGGCCTTGGAAAGAGGCCTGATGTTGTCTGCAACTCACGTTCCCGGATTGACAAACACCCTAGCGGACAGGTGTTCGCGGGTTTTTCTGGACAAGGTCGAGTGGCAACTGAACCGCTCAGTTTTCCTGTCATTGAACAATTGGACAGGCAATGCATTGACAGTAGATCTGTTTGCGTCTCGTCTGAATGCTCAGCTGGAGGAGTATGTCTCTTGGCACCCAGAACCAGAGGCCATGGCAGTGGATGCTCTAAACATTCACTGGGGCAACCTGGGGCTAGCGTATGCCTTTCCCCCCCTTCAGCCTAGTGTTCAAGGTACTGAGAAAGGTCCAGTCAGACGTAGCAACAGTGATTTTGATAGCTCCAGTTTGGAAGTCTCAGGCTTGGTACCCCAAGGTGTTGAACATGTTGTTCGAGAGTCCGGTTCTCCTGCCACAGAGCTGGGATCTGCTGTTCCTGCCGCACAACAGGAGACCCCATCCGCTGTTGCCAGATCTGATGCTTGCCGCGTGGCCAATATCAGGCGACAGTTGCAGGATCGGGGCCTTTCGGCAGGGGCTTCAGACCTCATCCTCTCGGCTTGGAGGGAAAGTACTTCTAGACAGTATCAGTCAGCATGGGCTCAGTGGGCCAGCTGGTGTGATAGAAGGGAGATTGATCCAGTTTGCGGCTCTATAGAGAGCGTAGTAGAATATCTGGAATGGATGTTCCGACAGAACTACAGCTATATGTCAATTAGGGTGGCTCGTTCTGCGATCTCGTCTGTACACTTACCAGTAGACCATTGTAATGTGGGTAGTCACCCTCTAGTGTCCAAACTGATGAGAGGTGTGTTTCACAAACGTCCTCCTTGTCCAAGATATGTTTCAACATGGGACGTCAGTCGGGTCCTAGAGTACCTTCTGCATTGTTGCCCAGCTAATAGTCTTAGTTTGAAACAATTGTCTCATAAGTTGGTAACACTAGCGGCATTGGTGTCAGCCGACAGAGGTCAGACCTTAGCGGCCCTCGACTTGAGATTCATGAAGAAATGTAGAAACGGTGTTTCTTGGACAATTCCTACCCTGCTAAAAACTTCTAGACCAGGAAAACCTGCCAGAAAGTGTTTTTGGGCGGCCTTCCCGCAGGACAGGCGCTTGTGTGCCTTCACATACCTGAAGGAATATCTAAGGCGGACTTCTTCCCTTCGGAAAGAAGGGGGGGGAGCAGAAGTTGTTCATACCATACAGGAGACCACACAGGCCGGTGGTTCTGCGACCTGGCCAGGTGGGTTAAGTCAGTGTTAGGCACGGCAGGTGTCGACACAGCAACTTTCTCAGCTCACTCCACTCGAGGAGCGTCCACTTCAGCTGCTGCAGCTGCCGGGGTGTCTCTACATAGCATCATGAAGGCAGCGGACTGGTCACGAGAGTCTACCTTCCTGAAGTACTACAGGAGGGACAACAACCAACACACGTTTGGCCAGGCTGTGCTGTCCACGGCTCTGAAGTCTGCATAAGGTAAACGATATACCCAAATAGGGAGTGTGCAGGTATAATTGGGATTATCCTTCATGGTAAGTACAATTTGCCTAATCCTCAATTAACAAACGTGAATTTTTTCTTTTGCATAGTGACTGTGCCGGGCCCTATGCCCCCCTCCCCCATAACCACACACATAAATTTTTTTTTACCCCTTTGTAGGGCTTGTTCACGATTCAACGCCCTGAATTTCTCTAGAAAAGACAAACCTATACAAACTCTACATCTAAACACGTATCTTTTCATTTTCCATGTTTATTAACACACAGAAATGAGGAGAAAATCTAGTGCGGTTCAACTTTTCTCATATGACTCAGCGGAACGAGGACAATTTTTCGCCGGTAAACCGAAGAAAAAGTACTGTGCAGGAATACGAAACTCACATTGTATCGGTTTGTCCTCCTTGTCCTCTTCTTTAACTTTCCTCTGGTCGGATCCTAAGTGATCTGGCATCCTGAATACGAGTGGAAAAGAGAGATTATTGGAGAAGGTCTGCTTTCCGTGATTTTCAAAACAAGTTCTGCGTTTTCAAGATGGCTGCCGTACCCACAATGCACCAGGGGATAATTTTTTTTGCGTGCAGGTCAGGATTATGCCGCTAGAGGCGCTTTTGAACCGCATACTAACACCAAACGCTATTAGTACACATGAATAGGTATCATAAATAATATCACCTGTATATGAAATAGTAAACATTTGGCCAATGTTTGAGCTCACTTTGAGTATTGGACAGCAAATACCTCGTAAGAACATTGGTGGGTGAAGTCTAGGAAATGGTGAAATAGTGACACCACCAAAAACGAAAGTTTATTTTGTTTCATCACACGTACAAGAAAACACATGTGACCCTGAACTTGCATGGTGACTAGTTCTGTCGACGTGTTCTGGCGTACTGATTTTTCAAAGTGTTGTGTACATGTTCGTCTTGCGCTGTACGCGTACCACTGGATTGAGACAGTGGGAATTTTGCCTAGTACGTAGATTTTTAATGCCTAAGATTAAAACTATGACATTCGTTGTTCCAAATACCTATCTATTACTATAAGGCAGATATTAATGCACCATTGCTATTATCTTCTTTTCACTTGGCTACTATGTGGTCCACTATCGATACAATGTTTTTAAAATCTGTTGGAACCTCCCTCCACCAGAAAATGTGATGTCCCAAGGACGTGCGACAAAGGAGTACTGCTGAATACTTTTCACATGACGTAACTTTTCCATTTTCCATGAATCTGTCGTCACCAACTAGACTACATCACATCACGTGACGTTCCACCCCAGGACTATATAGCCAGTCCCGGAAAGCCAGTGTTGACCTATCCCTGTGTGTTTAAGTGACCGCAAGTGCCAAAATAGAACCATCCTTAAGCGTAGGATGTTTCCTCTCAAAACTCAAAACGGAGGGCGGAGTGGCGACCGCTCGCAGAGAGCCGACTCAGACAGGGAAGCGTTACTGGGAGCGTCTGGTAGCGACGTGTCCAACTTAACCGTGGATTTAAACCTTTTCGGCCAGCCTAAAACACAAGGACGAAGTCAACAGCACCGAGGTGCGACTACAATGATGGCCGGTCAGGAAAATGTGAGAGGGAAGACGCTATCACGTCTATGTCAGGTAAGCGGTCTACCACTCGCCTAACTACATATCCAGCCCTTAGAATTGTCGAAGTATGTTGGCTTAGACATAGGGAACGAGAAAGAGCTAATTTATCCTCGGCATATCTGTACGTTTCGTACAATTCTTATGAGCTATAGCTACAAGACGAAAGATTTCCAGTGGATGTCAAGAAGGTTATGATTTTTGCGAAAAGCTGTAAAAGATGCGTTTTTCGCTTCTTAATTTTTTTGTCCTTCTAGGATCATTTTCTGTCTAAGAAAACCGACGTCGTCGCCATAGGTCACCCTAGCCTCCGTAGCAGGCTTATAGAACTGGGGCTTTGGTGGGTCTTCGCCTGTTTTCTGATTAGCTCAGTTCTAAAAGCGGGGGTAATTCAATCAGGCCGGCTATGTTGTCTACATGCAATCAGAAAATAGCACATAAAAGCTCCCAAAGACCCTGAAGACCCCCCCAAACCCCCATTTTTTTGGCGTGCTATAGAGGCTAAGGTCACCCCATCCCTCCCGGACGGTTGACTTTTCTCACAGCGGCGAAAGTTTTCCACGCACGCGGATGACTCACTTTCACCGCTCCGTTGTTTGCTTGGCTCACCCCTCGACTGGGAGGCGGCCTAGCCAAGAATTCTTTCGTCAGAGCGCGAATAGAAGTCTTCTTGTCAAAAGAAGAAAAATAGCCAACAGCAAAATGTTTCCTAGACTTCAACGAAAAATTGAATAGAAAACTACAGGTTCAATGTTGTAATGATGATGGTAGTTCACAGTATCAATACTTGCGCTTGATAAACATTGATTGATGATAATAAATTACTAAATGAAAGCTGTGGATTAGCGTAAAACATACAACTGATGCTGCCCACTGCTAACAGTGTGCTAATGAAGCGGAGAAACAATTTGCTGACCAAATGGCTCCTACCAGATTGCGAACACCCGTTTTAACGGAAGCATTTATGTTTTCTGAAAATAGTTTGGTGACAAAATTATGTAGAGAGAAAGTGACAAAAGTTTCAAATGACTACATTTTATGTACAAAATAGTAGAATAAAATGCTATACGTAAACGAAGCTAGGAAAGTTCTAACTAATCATTGTTTACATACTATAACCATATCCAGTGTATAGAGAAATGTTGCGGTGAATATTCACTAAGTTTGGATGGGTGAGTGGATAGTTAGTACACTGAAAACTCTACATAGTCTGCATAAGTTAAGTACGCTACTTTTAGTTGAGCATCTAGTTCCTTATCCATTTGGGTTTCAAAACGTTTTCCTTCTTCTTTTCCAGTACATCGGGTCTTTCTCAGTGACGCACACAAACAAAGTTGCCAGGGCAGATTTCGTCAGAAAACAACTTCAAGCCATCGAGGTAAGTATTAACACATATTATCATGGAAGTTCATCTGTGTTGGTAGTTACATGTTTAAAGTTATAACTTTTGGTCCAACACAAAAAATTCTCTGAACAAGACTATTTCTTGAGAGGGGTGAAGGAAGCCATATACATCAGGGCCCATCACCCTTCATTGAACCGCGACGGGGGCTGACATCGTCTACCAGATACCTTTGACCCAGTGTTGACGTCACACTTCAAAGAAGCCACGTGACAAGCTTCACTGGGTCAGTCAACTGAGGAAGACCAGAGTGACTGGTCGAAAGCTCTAGGTGAGAGAATTTTTTGTGTTGGACCAAAAGTTTAAACTTTAAACATATTAACACATATATTTTTCTATCTATACAAGCAATCAACACGCCAAGAACGTATTGTTATCCTTAAGGAAGGGGTGGATGTTTGGGCACATTGTCAGTGTTACTGAATATCACAAATACGCCAATTATTATTACTCAGCTGAGGCCAAAAGGGGCAGTTAATATCTGATGACACGCGATGCTACAAGTATAGATATTGTTTCTCTTCCTCTGAATCGTAGTCAGAATACGTTGAATACGGCAGGGATGAAATTGTACGTATACGTACACTTGACGCCGCAATCAAAATGTGTCTTGGATTGTTGAATGGAGTTTTCGCTAACAAAAGTCCGCAAAGTTGGTGGGGCCGTGTGGAGTAGCGGCAGATTGCGCGACTCGGAACCTAGAGGTCCCGGGCTCGAGTCCTGACATGCCACCGATCTTGTGCCCTTGGGAAAGGCACTTTACACGACTTTCCTTACTTCGCCCAGGTGAAAATGAGTATTGTCCTGTCATGTATTTGTCCCCTGTGTTGGTGGCGGCATTAATATAAGTTGATAAAACTTGAGTGTGTCGTCACAACTTCTGGTGATTACATGTTGGAATTAAAAAAAGTCCGTTTAAGAGCTGGAAGTTTATATTGAAGGGGTGAGTATAACAAGGAAGAAGTTCTAAAGGGCAAAGTCCGATGAATAGAAAGTTGTTCTCGGTGGGTTGATGTTATTTGGACTGAATGACTGTGCAGATGCAGTCAGTTTTCCGGTGTATGACCAAACACAAAGTTTCGAAAGTCAAGTGCCAGTCATGTACCAGACAGAGTGGGTGGGTTTTCACAGGATCTTTGAGAATGTTTTATCACTTCGAATTCATGGACAGAAGATGAGGGGGTGTCAGCACAACAAGTTTAAAAAAAAACATCCGTATAACTCACTGCAAAGAATCCCTCCTCCGCCACCGTACCTTTAAATCAGTTTTCCAAGGCACACTTCCTGTTTAGATTTTCTGCATTAGGCCACGTCGATTTAATTTTATGGATGACATCCTCTAAAGACCCCCAAACTAGTGCGCGCGGGCGAATAAAATAAAAATCCGGCCAAAAATAAAAATGCTACTAAACCACAGGAATTCAAAGCTGGTGTTGTGAATTTGCGGCAGTACTTAGCGACGTATACGACAAGCTGGCACATGCTGGCTTTTTGCGGAGTTTATGAATCGACACTGTACGTATGTACTAAGTTCTTTAGTCGTGGAGCTTCGGTAGCCTGGGTGCCCGGCTCCGTATTGTCGCTAACTCCCATGGACTACCCAGGCCTCGAG